CAAAAGACTGCTGGCAATGGTCGAGAGACAGCCGGGACTGACCTACCCTGGTGATGGGATGGCCAAAAACCCTAATAGTTGTGCCAGAAACCCCACCCAAGGACTGAGTAATCTGAATGCAGACATCCACGGCTAGGCCCTGGGTCGAGCACTGGGAGTCTAATTAGCGAGAAAGAGGAGGGTTTATATGAGTGAGAATTGTTGAAACCAAGGTTGGATAAAGCACAGGGACAAATAACCAAATGAATGGAAACACATGAACTATGAACCAAAGGCTGAGGGGCCTCCAGCTGGATCAGGTCCTCTGAATAGGTGAGACAGTAGATTGGCTTGATCTGTTTGGGAGGCATCTAGGCAGTGGTACCAGGTCCTGGGCATCTTGCATGAGTTAGCTGTTTGAAACCTGGAACTTATGCAGGGACTCTTGGCTCAATCTGGGAGGGGACTGGACCTGCCTGGACTAGGTCTATTAGGTCAATCCCAGTCCTCGGGGCAGACCTTGATCTGGAGGAGATGGGAATGGGTGGTGGGCTGGGGGGAAGGGGAGGGGGGCAGGAAGGGAGAAAACAAGGGAATCTGTGGCTGTTATGTAGAACTGAATAGTATTGTAAAATAAAAATAATAAAAATTAAAATAAAAAAATTAAAAAAAAAACATATTTGTGTCTTGAAGGAAGGACTCCATTGTACATTGTAGGTCCAAGTGTTTGTAGCTGGGTTGCTGTTTACCTTTCTGCTTGGATACCACGCAGTCAGAGAACATTGTGTTGGAGTAACAAAAAATCTGTTTGTACTTTAGGACTACTTCATGAGCATATGCCCATTCTTGACACTGCTCAGGTAACCGAGAAGCTGCTACTAGATAGCCCTGGGAATGTGGAGAAAACCCAAACCCCTCTTCTGCTAAAGAAGGCATAGGGTGGAAAGATTCTGAAAAGGCTCTGTAGTCTAGCAATACTGAGAAGCAAAAACAATGAGGAGAAGGAGGCCTACGTGCTAAGTAAAAACAATGTCTAAACAGAACTTCAGACAAACAAGACCATGGTGAAGACTGCCTAAGATGTGGGAAAGAGCAATGATAACATGATGGCATGAGGAGGAAGATCACAGGAAGAGTGGATTGTAGGAAAGGAAGGTGATGGATTACCTGGTGGTCCAGGGCAGGCAACTCTCTCAAGGTCCAGGTGGATCTTTGCTATGGAAAACAGTAGACATGGCTAGTAATGAGAGAAAGGCAAGTTCTTGAAGATCTGGAGAGCAGGCGGATATGCTCTCCAGCAGACGGATATGGCATGGAAAGAAATAGGCCTACTGGGTTTCTCAGGAAGGTCACAGAAGAGCTGGAAGTTCCTTTGTAATGGGGAAGAGCAGGTCTATATGGTAGATGGGGAAGATCAGCCCTGATGGAGCTAAATGATAAACACAGGTCTTCAAATGTGTTTTTATCATTATTAAAAAATAATCTCAAATGATAATTATATTTATATAATAGTTCTTTCATTGTTTGAGGATCAAGCTTCAAGCTCTATGCATAACTCACTGTACCACTTATCTATGGCCTAAAGCACACTTGGTTGATTCCAATTAATGAACAAATTCATTAATTACTGAATTGACAGGCTTTCTCTGTGTAGCTTTGGACGCTGTCCTGGAATTCTCTCTATATACCTGGCTGGCCTGGAACTCACAGAGAACTTCCTGCCTCTATTTCCTAAGCACTGGGATTAAAGGTGTGGTCAAAAACCACCTGACTAATATAACATTACCTAAATGTTTATATTTTAGTTTTTTATCTTAACTTCATTTGAATAAATTTAATAATTGTGAAAACACAGCAGAAACTTTTACAACTACAGAGCACAGTAAAGTATAGCTGAATACTTATATTTCTATGCAAAATCACAAATTCATACTAAATAACTGTCTTCTTTTCATCCCTTCTTTCTTCTCTTTTCTCAGTTGGCACACACTTTCATACAGACCAAGCAGAACTCAAACCCATGATTCTCCTGCTCCAACCTCTTGCCTAGCATTGCAATGATGGGAACGAACACAGGTCTTCAAGAATGCAAAAAATACTCTATCAACTAGGCTACATGCCTCAGAAAATAATTGATACTTTGATGTTATAAATGCCACTTAGATTCTTACTTCACTCAGACAACTGAAGCATTATTCATCTTCTCTAAGGTTCCTGCTCTAGTTCATGATATAGCAGGAAAACATGCAAATATTTTTCTCCTCTGCTCATGAAAACCAGCCCTGACCCTACAGCTCTGACAGAGGAACCCAACTCGGGGTTGACAAGTTCTCTCATTCAGTGTTTACCACTGAACACAGAACTTCCAGCATGGAGTTGAGACTGAGCTGGGTTTTCCTTCTTGCTCTTTTAAAAGGTAATTTACAGATAAGGAGAGATACTGGGTGTGTGAGTGGACATGAGTGTGAGGGTCAGTGGATATCTGTGAGAGCTTATTAACAGGATTTTCTGCTTTTTCAGGTATCCAGTGTGAGGTGCAGCTGGTGGAATCTGGGGGAGGCTTAGTGCGCCCTGGACAGTCCCTGAAACTCTCCTGTACAGCCTCTGGATTCACATTCAGTAACTATTGGATGAACTGGGTCCGCCAGGCTCCAGGAGAGGGGCTGGAGTGGGTTGCACAAATTAGAAACAAAGCTTATAATTATGCAACATACTATGCGGAGTCTGTGAAAGGCAGATTCACCATCTCAAGAGATGATTCCAAAAGCAGCCTCTACCTGCAAATGAGCAGCTTAAGAGCCGAAGACACCGCCATTTATTTCTGTACTAGTCACAGTGAGGGATCTTCAGTGAGGACCCAGACACAAACCTCCCTGCAGCAGTGCTCAGAACCAGCAGGTGGCGCAGAGCGCACACGGAGATGAGGAGCAGTTCAGATCAGGAGCAGAAACAGTTGATTGCTGTTTATTTGGTCACAGCTGTCGCTCCATCTACTCATTTCTCAGAATGTTCTCTACATTTATGCTTTGTGAAAACTGTTCTGCTTTTCTGAAGTTTTAAATATGTACATCACACAGTCTAACATGAACTATGTGTGGAAAATCACCTCTGATTGCAGAAATGACTCTGCTCAGGTCATCAGGATGAAATTCTTAGAAGGTACACAGCATTCGTGATTTTTCTCCCTCAGGACATTCAGGGCAAAGCCTCAGTGTTGTTCTGATTAGAACAGCGTTTCATACTGGGGGAGCCATGAGGGAGGTGAGGCCACACACACCAAAAGTTCTCAAGTCTTTCTGATTTCCCTGATAACCATACACATCAGGCACAGATCTGACCTGTTTGTATTCATAGTTGATTTTGTTACTAAATCTGTAACTTTCATCATCATATCTTTCATTGCATTTTGTTCATAACTTCTGGCCTTTGTTCTAAACATAGAAGGAAGCTACTGATTGCAAACTCAGCTGGTGCCTAAGGTGTAACTCTGTGGGAGGAGGGGTGACTGGGGAAGGTTTTTGGTGAGTGAAAAATAAAAAAAAAAATAATAAACAAAGAAACGTGACTGCTTCCAGGTATGGTGGAGGAGAAAGTTTATTATATACACGTGGAGAGCATAGCCAGAGGCAGGGCATGTGGAGAGTCCAGAATGAAGATTACACTGACCAGTGTCAGGAGAGAGGATGGAAAGGAGGGTGGAGAGAGGGGAACAGGGTGCAGCAGCCAGGGAACCCAAAGGAGAGAAGAGAAGGAGCAGGTAACTGAAATAGTTGGATTACATAGGGCAGGGCAGCTGGGAAAGGGAAGCCCAACTCCTTGACTGGAGACATTTAGGGTAGAGGAGGGTTTGCCTGCAAGGATGACCCTGTAACAGCTAGAGACTGAGGGAGGCAGGGAGAACCTGGCAGCTGGTGTCTGCTTTGATATGTTAAATAGAAACATCTGCCATTTTTCCCAGGTCTAAATCTAACACTCCCGCCTTTTTTTCTTATAAATAAACGACAGTGATGACATGTAATCTTATCTATGACTCACTATTTCATGCTCTCACAGGAATGTCACTGGTGAATGGGGCCCAAGGAAGCTGGGGTGCTGGCCCAGTCTGGGAAGAGCAGACTGTTTCACTTACTGACCAGTCTCTACAGCACCTTCTGGGTTAGGGGCTTGCAGACAGCATTTGTAGCAGTTTGTAAGGCTGGACCACCTGGGGCTGCCACTTTGAATCTTTCTGGGATGCAGATTTTGAGGGAACACCTAGAGCTTGCTAGTTGCTGGAGCAGTCAGCAATTAATTTGAAATCTGTTGGGGCCAATTGCCAAGGGACCAGCCCTCAGCAGGTCAGGTACTGAAGAGGTGTGGGGTCAGCACAACTGCACACACACAGGAGATTTCTCTGGGGCCAAATCTTAGTTCTTCATTTTATTTTTGTCTTTCTGTCATTCCTATTGTGTTATCTCTCTGTTCTGTTCTTTTACCCTGCTGTTTGTCTTCTTCTTGGACTTGCTATACTCTTTTCAGAATCAGAATATAATGATTATTTCAAGGATCAGTGAAATGGAATATTCCAGATGCAATGACTTTTGCCAGTTTGCAGGTTATGAAAGATTGATGTCTAAGACCAGTTGCCCTTTCCATCTTCTATATGCTTTGTAGTCTTCTAGGGAAAATAGAGAAACAGAGGTGACTTGAAAGCTTCACTAATGAGGGAATGCCTCAGTTTTTCTGAAAGGCACATAGTGCCCTAGGAGCCAAGGACTCTAACTGAAAACTTCTGACATGTGCCTTTCAAAGCAATAAGGCCAGGTCAACTCCATTATTTCCTGCAAAACATGATGGTTCTAGGCCAAAGCAATATGCTTATTTTTTTCTAGGCACAGCGATTTGGCATGCTATAATCATTTAGTGACTCAGTAGTACCAGCGGGTAGTGCTGGAGCTGGATCCATCTGACACCATGAAAGACTCTTCACTATGAGAAACACTAACGACCATAGAAGCACAAATAAAATGAATCTCTGACACATGTTCAGTATCTCCAGAAAACCAAAAGTCATTTTTCCTGCAGTTGAGTTATGTGAGCACTGAATTTTCAGGCACACATTACTGTTCAAGAGAGACAGGTAAACTTCACTATAATGATCACAGACCATGAAGAACCACTTCCAGAGATCCCTGGGTTGGAATTGGCGGTCATAGTTTCTGTAATGGCTGCCTCTAGGGAGAAGATGAGTCTGTTTTCAGCAGTAAATGGGATAGTTATTGGGCAGAGGCATTCTTAAAAATCACAGCCACAGGGGACGCCCAAGCAGTGTGTACGGGGCCTGTTCCTTGTGCATGAACCGGCTTTTTGGAACCTAGTGCCTATGGTAAGACTTTGCACAGCCTTGGTGCAGGGAGAAGGAGCTTGTACCTACCTCAACTGAATGTAGCAGGCTCTGCTAACTGTCCATGGGAGACCTTCCCTTGGAGGAGGTGGGAATGAGGGGTGGTTTGGGGGAGGGGTGCCTGGGGATCAGAGGAGGAAGGACAGGGGAATGAATCTGTGGTTGATATGGAAAATGAATACATAATCTCTTAATAAAAATAAGGAACAGAAATCATGGCTATAGAAGAAGGCAATGTATGGTTATAAAGAAGCCAAAGATTAGTTTGTGGTGTGATGTGTGATTTTTATATTGGGATGTTAAATATCCCATCTCTAGTTTGATAGTCATAAATCCTATCTTCCTTCCTAGAAGAGCACAGATGTAACCATGACTGGCCAATAATAGCTAATTTCCCTGGAACTCAATTGGTTCATGGAATGGTGTATGGTCAGAGTAGAAGAACTCATAAGCTTTCCTTGGAATTGACAGACTGATGCTGAATGGGATGTTCCATTTTTGTTTACATTGTTAAAATGAGAGTGTGTGACATGGGTTTGAGGGCAGGCCATGCACTGGGGACAGGGGTTCCCAAGGAATGAAGATGGAAGCAGAGATGTGAGAGGAAGACTCACTGATGAAACCTCATTGTATAGTCAAGGATGACTTTTGACTTCTGATGTTCCTGTGTCCACTTCCCCAGTGCTAGGGTTTCTACACTTTATGTGGAGTGAGAGATTTAAAGCAGGGCTTCATGCATTCTAGTCAGCATACCACCAACTGAACTACATCCCAGACCTTAATATATTTTTCCAAAATTTTAATAAAGATATTTATTTGTCTTTTTTATGTGCTCATATACACATGTAATGATTCATAGGTGAAAATCAGAGGACAACCTTTCTCTCCTATCTTGTGGATTCTGGGAATAGAACTCAGGGAATCAGGCTCGGCAGCTAGCATCTTCCTAGGTATACATACATATAGAGAGAAAGGGGGTGAATTTAATGTAGTCTTCAAAGTCACTAGGTCATAGAGGTAGACCTTGAACTCCTGTCCTCCTGTCTTGTCCTGCTGGGGTTACAGGTATATAATACTATACCTAGCCTCTATTTGGTTTAAAGTGAAGACATGGGATGCAGATCCAGCTCAGTGGTAGAGTGCTGGCTTAACATGTATAAGGAAATAATTTTAGTTTTCAATAATGCAGAAAGAAGGGAGGGTGCCAAATCAAGCTGCTTTTTCTATTATTGTCATGTCTACTGCTTTTTTGCCATATAATAAAGAAACATATTTTCTGTCGTGTGATAATTTGATTTAATTGTGAAAGTAAAGCTTGCTTTGAGTCAGAGGGCAGAGCTAGCCAGTAGCTGACTAAAACTGACCATAGAAGTTTGGAGCACCGTGGACCGATATGAGACAGGAAGTAATAAGTTGAGGCTAAGAGAGGATCTTAGCCCTTTTGGAACAAAGAAGAGAAGAGGTAGGAAGTTACTGTAGGCTGTTCCCCTGCTTCTTGGATCTTTCTTATAACAACATTTGACTTCTGATTTTTTTTGATAATTAGAAAAACCCTTCAGTTTTCTTTATTAAACAAACACAACCAACCATAAAAACTTCAGTATAAACCAAGCCATACAACATGTAGAGGAGTTCAGGACCAAGAGGGGGCACAGTGGAGCCAATAGTCAATAGGATGAAATGAGATGAGGAGTGGAGGGGACTCTGCAGCCTCTGTGGAGGCCCTTCCAAAGTCTGTTAGCTGAACAACACCTGCTGCAGTTGATATGGGACGTCTCCATGCTCAAACACAGTAAAAGTTCTTTGGTAAATAATGCACAGATTTTTATTTTCTCAAGATTTAGTTATTTATTTTTGATTTTGTAAAAAACATTTTTATACAATATATTCTGGCCATGGTTATCCTACCCAGCTCCTCCCTAATCCTCCCCACCTCCCCACCTCCCTACCACTCAACTCCATAACATTTTTTCTCTATACAAAATGTAAACAAATGACAAAAAGGGATTTAAAAACAAATCCAAGAGTTACACACCTGCAATCTACTGGAAAAGCAAATATTAATAGGTTGCATATGAAAAAAGATTACAAATGCTCCTAATTTAAGAGTTTTACAATTTCCAGACACTGTTATCCTCATAACAACTACCATCTATAAATAAATTTTGGTACAAATTGGAACAAAGGTCTCAGATACAAATTCTACTTTTAAATTTAGAAATTAGGCCTTGATGTTATACCAATGTGGACTCCACAGGTCTAGGGGAAGGATACTTCCTCAGACAGGATAAGGATTTTGATCTCAGGATCCTGTTGCCTGACCCAGGTTTACTCTGCCACCTTCTCCAGCTGGAATAGGTCCTTATATAAGAAGTACCTTGCCTCATGAATATGCAAATCGTGTGAGTCTACAGTGGTAAATACAGAGATATCCACACCAAAAACAAACATATGATCAGTGTCCTCTCCACAGTCACTGAGCACACAGGTCCTCACCGTGGGATGGAGCTGGATCATCCTCTTCCTCCTGTCAGTAACTACAGGTAAGGGGCTTTCCAGTTGAAACCTGAAGAGGAAACTGGGAATAAAGTGACAATGACATCCACTCTGTCTTTTCCTCCAAGGTGTCCATTCCCAGGTCCAGATGCAGCAGTCTGGGGCTGAGCTGGTGAGGCCCGGTGCCTCAGTAAAGTTGTCCTGCAAGGCTTCTGGCTTCACCTTTACCAGCTACCATATGAATTGGGTGAAGCAGAGGCCTGGACAGGACCTGGAGTAGATTGGAAACATATATCCTGGAAATGGTAATACATACTACATTCAGACGTTCCAGGGCAAGGCCAAACTGACTGTAGACAAATCCTCCAGCACAGCCTACATGGAGCTCAGCAGCCTGACATCTGAGGACTCTGCAGTCTATTACTGTGCAACACACAGTGTTACAGCCCACATCCTGAGTGTGTCAGAAACCCTGGAGGAGCAGGAAGCTGCCCTGGGACTGAGATGACAGAGAAGATTAGACTGGAGACTTGTTCAAATATCATCATTCTGAAGTCCTTTTGTCACTACACAGACTTTTTTTAATTAAGAAAAATTTTTCATTCATTTTACACACCAATCAAAGTTTCCCCTCTTCCTTCCTCCCAACTCCCCAAGCCTCCCCTTCCCAATCCACCATCCACTCTCCCCCACAAGAAGTCAAGGCTTCCATGGGAAGGCACATACCATAGAGGCAAGTCGAAGCTCCTCCCATTGCCTCAAGTCTGCACAAGGTGTCCCATCATAGGTAGTGGGCTTCACAAAGCCTGGTCAAGCACCAGAGATGGATCCTGATCCTACTGCCAGGGGCTCCCCAAGCAGATCAAGCTACACAACTGTCTAACCATGCAGAGGGCCTAGTCCAGTCCCATGCAGGCTCCACAACTGTTGATCCAACTTTCATGAGTTCCCACTAGTTTG